CAATAGGAAAAACCTTAAGAAAATATTTCAATAATATTTTTTGCCACTGGTTGTAATAAATTAACAACAATTTCTCCTATAGGTTGGTGACTTCCTGGTAGCTGCACTGGGGAATCCGGTAGCCATGGTTTCTGCGATCACAGGCGGATGGTACTGGGGCTACAAAGTGTGTCTCTGGTATAACTTTATTGTTTATTAAACGAAATTACAACGAAATTTCACCGAGAAACTGCGACTATCTCGTCACGCGGTTTTCCTTTCACCCTGAACGAACATAATCTTTCTTCCTCTCTCTCTCTCGATGTCTCCACGCTCTTTCTTCATTTCGCTACAACTGAACCAGGTACACCGTGGTTTCTCGTGATAGAAAGTAATTGAATCTCGGATTAACCTAACCCTTTTTCCTCCCGCTTCACGTGGCTAATTCTGATAATTTTCTGAAAATTGAGCAGAGCTAAGTTACCTTTTAAAGGTATGCTTCTTGAAACTTTTAATTTTCCAGCTGGCACTGGTTGAAGTTTAGAAGAAAAATGTAACTACCGCGATAAAAGAAAACGAAAAATTAATAGAATAAAGTTTGCAAAAATGTTGTGGCGACCGCCACTGGGGGCCTACGTACTTAAGCCTGGCGACTCTTGGCCCTCGAGGCGAAGAATCAAAAGATGTTTTTCCAAACATCTCCGAGTTTCTTCGTCCTCGAGGACAAGAGTATTGCCTCGGCAATGCAGGCCCGCGCCCCCACTTCCTGGGACTTTCCCAGGGAAAAGGGTCTACTTAAGGGAGCCCCGAAAAAGGCACGAGGTTTTTTGTCGTAGACTTTCTTTCTACATGCGTCGTGTCGCCTATACATTTAAAAATTAGTTTAAGCGTTATCGGCTAAATAAATATAATTTTGTTGAGCAACTTTTGCAAGTAATTATTTTACACCACGTCACTTCCAAAATGTAAATAACGTGAACAGAAGAAAAATGTATTAGTTAAAATTTTGAAGAGTGTAAAAGTCGTGATAAAAGGAAATAAGAAGACACAATTGATAAGAAATTCTCGTTAAAATGGAGCAATTTGTTTACGACATCCAGCTGATACCGGCCATTTAAGCGACACAATGGGATCTTTCGTCTAAACATCCACGAGAAGCTACAGTTTCTCGAGTAGAAATCGATCGCGAACAGATCTGGAAACAGAATTAAAATTGGACTCTTTGTCACAGCGAAACGCTCGTTAACAGGTGCAATGACGTGTCCACGAATTGTGCTTTTTTTGTTTTCCTTTTTTCTTTTTAATTAACCACTTTCGCAAAGCAACGAACACGAGCATAAAGAGCTATCGTTGGAAGGTCATCAAAAAACCGAGCATTCTTTTTATTCTTCACTTTTGTCTTGCGTCTCACAAGAGAGAAAGAGAGAGAGAGGAGGTAATTAATACGCCAGATAAATTACTGAAAAATTTATTCCGGGACAATTTGTTTGCGATTCATTTATGACAGTTCAACGTGCAGGTTTTAATTGCTCCAGGAAAGATTTTCATAAATGAACCATTCAATCTTTTGTTACTTGCTACGCTTTTGTGTTTACGTATTGTACCTTTTATTCCAATTTATTCAGAACTTTCTCTCTTGTTCGTTCTTTATAATTTAATTGACGAAACTTATCGGCTTACACTTCTTTGGGAATGTTTTCACGTAAGCTGTTGTTTCTGTATTTTTTTTTTTTTGCTGGAACGGTAGTTACTGCGTCCGAATAAATTATTATTCGATAATAACTTCCCCGCTTCATTGGTCCGCTACGTTTTTCTACGCGTAATTTTTCGATACTTCTCAGAAGCAATTTTATCGCAATCTTTCCAAATCTCTTAGAAGCAACGAGAGTTTTAAGGCCTTCGTGGCCTGAGTTGCTCGAATTATTAAACGAGGCTTTCGAGTTTAAGCCGTATCCAATTGTTCTTGCGTTTTAACGTTTCGCCATCGCTGCAGCTGGCCTCGTCAGAGTTCGAAAGACACGCTGACACTAGCGTGTGTCGCTTAGTTTCTGCTTGCATCTAACAAGGGAACATCCCGAAGTGATAATCACCGATTTTGATGAAACTTTGGTACATACAGCGGCGGACAAAAGCACACGTGCACCCCTTAAAACAGTGCAACTTTTTAAAAATTGGACCGAACGACTTGAGTTTTTTGAGAAATTAGAAGGATTAGTTTACACTAGATGATGTGTACAAATTTTTGAAAAAATTGTAATGGGGCGAAATCGCAAAAAAAAATAGAGAAGGTCGTTTTTCACAACTTTTTTATCTGAGCCCTTAAAGAAAATTTGCAAAATACGTTTTGTAGATTTATGCCAGTTATGTACACTCCCGTCCATTAGTATCCGGACACCTGGCAAATTTGGATAAACGGCGTATGAACGATATAATAATGCAATTATTTCTTAACAAAATTAGTGTTAATTGAAAGATCTGTAATATATAATAAATAAGATTTGTACCACTAAGTAATATAAAATATTTAAATCTCGGATTCGTCGATACATCCTCCCCGTTACGAAACAACCAATTGGACCGGATACTTATGAACTGGAGTGTACACGCTGAAAATGGCGAAGATCGCAGTTTTTCACAAGTTATAGCCTATAACTGTAATAAATTTAAAGATTCTTACATCTTTCGATGCGTGCCACTTGTTTCTGCATCAACCGATTCGGATGAACCAAAGTTGAAGGTAGTAAATATATTGGGTTGTTCGGGAAGTTCGTAGCGAAATTTGAACCATCGTATCTCTGTTTCTGATTGACACAGTGATAAAAGTTAAACTGTATTTTCCTTGGCAGTTAAAGGTGAATCTAACGCACTGCTCAAATTATTCGTAAGATGAACAGGAGTGGATATAAGTCGAACTATGTTTTCTGCAGTGGAGCGTGGATGTTGAATTTTTCGTGGCAACGCTCCACCGCAGAAAATATAGTTCGCCTTAGGAGTGATTTGAGGGGTACATAAGATTTATCTTCAAATAACGAGTAAAATACCTTTTGGGTTTTTGTCGCTATCTCAATTAGAAACAGAGATACATCCGTTTGAATTCTTCCGACATGTCGTTACGAACTTTCCGAACCACCCGGTATGTACTTCCCCGTTCACCTTATGAAGAATTTGAGAAGTGCGTTGGGCTCGTCTTCAAATAACGAGTAAAATACCTTTTGGTTTTTGTTGCTATCTTAATTTGAAACAGAGATACGATCGTTTGAATTTTTCCTACATTTCGCTACGAACTTTTCGAACCACCTAATATTTAGTCTAACATCGCGAGAACTATTAGAGATAGAGTAATAGTGTAAACTGACGAATTTTCTATTTTTTCAACGATAAATGTGAAAAATAAAAAACTTTTACCAAATATATTTATTAGCCTCATCTTTGAGAGCGATTTTCACTTCTTCAATGTTACCGATTGCCGATAAAAAAAATACGTGAAAATATTTTTTTGGATACTATCGTATACTACAGTCTTATCAATATCGGTGATTATCACTTCGATATGTTCTCTTGTAAGCCACGTCGATGTCACGAATCAACGGCTACCAGTCAGGTTTCGTTTTAATCGGTCAACTTGATAATTTTTTAAATTGTTGACCGCTTAAAAAGCAGCTTCTTTCGAACCCTAATGAACAATTCCCTCGAAGGCCTCGATTAGTAACTGCCAGAAGAAACTATTAATTCGATCTAATTTCATTTTCATCCGTTAAATACTTAAAACCACCCTTCAAATTTACTGCAAAACAAAACGTAAATTTATCCACGATAATTATGCATGAAATGCAATTTTGTCAACAGCTGGAATTGGCGGGTCGATACCATACGTGTATTAAATTTTCTCCGGTAATAAATATTTATGCACAATAATCGAGAAGAACGAATTTGCTGCAGTATATTAAATGGTAAACAAATTTGTAATACAATTGTTCGGACATTATTATCTGACGTGATGAATAATCGGGATATTCGCGTAATTTTTTTATATAAATTTAAACTCGAAGAAACTGCCGAAAATATAAATTTAGCGCTTGAAAAGAGTTATGTAAATGTTAAAACACTTTCAACGTTTAACATTAAGAAAGCCAGACGAGGCCGTCGACGATAAAGTTTTAAGAATAGTTATTGAAAAGAATATCAAATTTTGACACATCGTTCCCATTGCTTCAAACACCGAAACAATTTTTGAACAAATAAATTATCCAGAAAAGAAGACACTGTAGAAGCAGCTTTCAAAGAAATTTTTCATTCAGAAACCAACGACTTTTATAAATTTGAAATAATGAAACTATTATTGTTCATCGTTGGGAAAAGTGTGTTTGAATTGCGTGCAAATTATTTTCATTAAATACATTATTTTTTTGAAAAAAACTTCCTCCTTTACAATTTGTCCCGCGCAAAAATTTCGAAACCCCGAATTCATACCTTGCCATTATATTCACGTTTCACTCGTACGAATTAATTGAACGTAATACAGAGTCCCTCCTTTCGATGTATCGGCGTTCACTATCAGCAACCATTTAATCATCGTTGAAGAGTAAGCAATGCTCACCGAGCATTGATAAAGATATGCAGTTTGTAATTACCGAAACGAGAATTTCACGAGCCGTTCAGCCCTTGCGTTCGGAAAATGACAAATGGAACGTGTCGTTCCGTTCTTAGAAACGAACGAGAACGTGTGTGTACTTGTCGATCCACATTTTCGATTTCTGTTTGCTCGCTTCTTTGTCTCCTTTCCCTGAGAACCGTCTTCCTTCTGTTCCACTTTCGATCAACCGGTATTTCTTTTTACGCCTGACACTTTTTTGATGCGGACAAATGGCCCCGCAGTCTCCTACTTATCAATTTGGTACACTACTTTCCTTCTTTTCTTATTTTCTTCCTGGCTTTCAGCCATTGATTTTGTATTCTCTTCCTTCACATATTCGGTACATCTCGAATTGGTCCGTTGAAATTTATCATTCCACTCGTTTTTTCCGCATGCGTTTCGTCCATTCCATTTTGCCCGTGGAACGGTCACTTTATTGTTTTAATTGATTTCATTTTGCACCTTTCTGCTTTTTTCCATCAGTTGACCCATTTATACTTCTCCACGAATTCGTTCTTTTTCCCTATCGAACCAATTTCTACCTTTTCATCTCGATTCTTTTTTCTTCACAGTCTTACACGTTCTTCGCGCTTTTTTCCCCTCGCTTCGAGAGTAATCGAACGCGATAAATTCGGCGACAGCGAGTGAAACAGTTCACGATGTAAATGGTCACAATTCTGATACTACGCTAATATTGCACGATACGTAACGTCTTTACACGGACGTATTGGACGCAATTAATTTCCAATTAATGTTCAATGAATCGCGTCCAGACGGGAACAACGTAATATCCCCTGAGAATGACCCTCATTTTCCAGCTATTTGTTTCGCTGTTTGTCGTTTTCTGGGTTATTCGTCTTCATCGGACGCTACGAAACACTCAATCTTTCCAATCGACCTAGTTTCTTTTTTTCCCTTTCGAGCGTTACTTTGAAATTTCATAGTTTCGAAAACAATTTTTTGTCACTTCTTGCTGATAACTGTTACAACAATACCGACGTATTTACAATCGTTGGAGATCAAGCAGACGTGGAAAATTAGAAATTAGAGGTTGTTCGACACGGATAATGGATACGACGAGACTTTAGTTTGCTATTTGCGAGTTTATTGTGCGGTTCAGTTGGTAGATAACCGAAAGTTTGTTAAAAGAAGAAAGGAAATTGCGATGGAAATCTGATTGAAAGATAGGAAAGCAGAGATGTATGGACGAAAAAGGACAAATTGTAAGATAGAGAAATAATGTGCAAGCGATCTGTATTACGATGGGCTCTGAAACACTTGGAATGTGTACTCATGTGGCGACAAATTCGGGTCACTTTGAACACGATTCGATACTTGAAAGTCTTGATAAGTCCTGAATCATGATAGATCTTCAATCTAAAGTTTCGAAAGTTTCGATAGGTGTTGAAAGTTTGGTGAGTATTTAATACCTTATATGTGAGTATTCGGTATCTTTAATATTTTATGACAACGATACTGCTTAGATAAATGTGTTTACATTGTTTGTAAGATATTAAATACTTACTAAGCTTTCAAATCCTAGCAGAACATTCAAGACTGTGAAACTTGTTAAAACTTTCAAGACCTCCAAGATTTACAAGACTTGAAGCTTTGAAGACTCAAGGTTCAAGACTTGTCAAGAGTTTCAAGTATCGAATCAAGTTACATGTGATTTGAAATTTTCACCACAATATGTACAGTGGGTGATCGAATTATTAGAGCCACAATACGAAAAATATGTTTTGGGTAAAAATAAAATCACAATATGTATCAAGATTTTCACACTAGATAATTTTTAATTCACTAGAGCTTATGTATTAGGTCATCCCATAAGTTCGTGTCGAATTTTATGATTTAGATGAATATTTCCAACGAGCCTTTAAATTTGATAAAAATAGTGTAACCTTATTCTCATTCCACAAATTCTTCCTATTTTTTTGGTAAGATCATTATATCGTCGCTGTAGAATTTCCTTGGATTTTCATTCAAATATTTTTCGCTTTCGGCACGAACTTATGGGATGACCTAATAGTTCTAAAATATACAGTTAAGAAGTAAGAATAAAGTCAGTATTTGGTAGAGCTACCTTTTGCTGCACTTACACCCTTGATTCTTTCTTCGATACATTTTAAGTAACTTACTATGCGTTATAAGTAGTAAAAACACAGCAACGAAAATTCAAATGCTCGAGATCTGTAAACCAATGCAACTGTAACACGTGGTTCTCAAGTGGCGATTTGCAGTACGACAGATAATATTGCCTGAAGTGTTGCCAAGCGTATATTTGCAATTTGTAAACATCAACGCTTCGTAAAAAAAAATAATAAGAATTCGGTATAACTAGCTTTTCATCTGAAAATTAATCGTTATAATGGAAACCCGTCAACTTCTTACAAGTGGCTCTAATAATTTGATCACCCACTGTGCATATTCGTAGCGATTCGAAGAATTTCAAATTTCGTCACTAGTTAATACTCATTTTTCCTTACAAAAAATTCAGAATTCTCCGTCTGTTTCGAAGGTATGCTTGGTTTATGTCTACTCTGGGGTTCGCCAGTATCGGGAACCTAACAGTAATGGCGGTTGAAAGGTGGCTGTTGGTGGCCAGGCCGATGAAAGCTTTGTCCATAAGGTAAGAAGCATTCGATTTTCTCATGTTTCATTTTTTTTTTTCTCTTTTTGGTAACTCAATGTATTTCAAGAGAATTCTACTTCGTCGAGAGGGAAGAAAAAGAAAAATAGCGACTTTCTTGACTCTGTTAACCGAACAGTGGAACAAAATGACGCGCGTTCCGCTCCAAAAAGTCTGGACTCGTCGCGACGCACGTGCGTGAAGAAATAACGGAATAAATGGATCGTAACACTCGATCCTGAATCACAGCGATCTAATTACACCTCGATACGTATCGCGTGTTGCTCCTTTAAACGAAAGAGATTCGTTGAGCGAGTGGAGCGAAGGAAATTGGGTCAGAGGGTGCATTTATCTGTGAAATTATCGAAGATTTCTGGTACGAAGTACACAAAATTGTGCTGGAATATTTACAATGCAACGTTTATACGATTACCAGCAACGAAATTTATAAAATTGTTAATGATGTACCGTCGAGTTGAAGGCAAATAATGAGCAAAATTTGCAAATTCAACGAGTACCGAAATGTAACCTAATTTAATTATGTTAATCTTGTGTACTGCAGATTTAAAAAAAAGGAGCCAAAACATTCTGAAGAATTTTATAGATTTAGAAGATTTTTGTAAAATATTTCAACAAAGTGAAAAAAAAAAAGATTGCAGAAAAAGATTGGTATAATTTATATTTCTGTGTGCAGATTTAAAAAAAATAGTAAAAATATTCTGAAGAGGTCAGTAGATTCAGAAAATTTATTAAAAAATATGTCAGCATCCAAGAGAGGAAATATTTAACAGATTCACTGGATCGTGAAACGGATTGGTGAATTTTATAACAAATTGAGAGAAAAGTTTCTCCGTTTCGCAAAATCTTTGACGGGTAATGAGAAATTCGAAGGGAAACGCTTAATGTCTCAGATCAAGCAGCAAAGAAGCTGCAACCTTGCACTTAATAACCCGTAAGAATTCTCGGCGTAATTATTAATATCGTTTCACGGGATAAGTTGAGGATTAAGACTCCCTCTGGAGAATCATCTACGTAGGGTTTCATTCATTCTTAATTAACTATGGATTAACAAAGGCAGCTCTCGTGTTTTAGGCGCTCTCTAGGCACTCATCTCTTTACCGGTAGAATAAAAAGCGTCTGTGAGAGAATTCTTTTTTAGAATTACTCGAAGTATTATACATTTCGATATTTCGATATCGAAACAAAGAAGATTAGTAGACAAGTATTTTTTTAGATGTCTCAGGTATGATGACAAAGTGTGGAAATAAATGTTCGTGGCCACAAATCGTGGTAATTTCAGTGGCTGTCGCAAATAAAATAACCCTCTGTCGCATAAATTTTAATTATTTCGCAAGTATTTAGCACAGTTTCGTGGTGGTTGGCTGCAAGTGACGCCAATTTCTTATAATTATAATTTACGTGGACTTCATCGTACGTATAAGTTCGTGAACTTTTGCTTAAATGAGAATAACATTAGTGTAGGAACCGACGGAAAAATATTGAGAGACCCAACGGGAATCGAACCCGAGACGTTCGGC